ATTGGTGGGACCTTCTTGACCCGGGAGACCAGAATTTTCCATATAAAACCCTACAGGTCTGGGGAACACCAGTGTTTTCAGGAGGTGCCTTGCTGTCTCTGCACTGGCCCAAATCTGCAGCGTGGGTCTGGTCCCTGCCCTGGTGTCTTCCTAAGGACAGGGTTAGATCAAGCCCCAGATGGGGCTCGCAGAAGAATCGCCTGTGCCAGCAGCAACGGTGTGACGACCGCACATCGTACAGTGCGTGGTGTAACTCACTCCCCAGGTACCGGGACGCTGCAGTGGCCATCAGTGCCACCCTCCTGTCACACGCGGCCATTCCTGTGGCCTTTTGAAGGGCTGAAGGTTGCAGCAGGCAATGGGGCTGGGTCCTTTGGCAATACAGGCTGCCCACCGTGCCCCATCCCAGCCCCCCCAGTGCCACGGGGGGAGCACAGGGCACGGAGCCCTTCTCACTGGGCAACCTGCAGGGTTAATTTGGGGGCATGGAGGTTCCCTCGCCGGGGTCCAGCCCCCAGCAAACCCCCTGAGTACCTTTGCAGCAGCCTGCCCACGGAGGCTCGCTCGCTCTCGGCCGGGTGGCTGATTTCTGGATCCTGTCGGCTTTCACTCCATCTCCCGGGAGCCAAGGTCCACAGCCGCGCCTGTGCCTCCCAGACGGGCCGGCAGACGAGAACTTCCTTCCAGGCCCTATAGACAGACATTTTATATACGTTAAAATACGTCTGTATATAAATATGGAAAGCAAGAGCTTGGGAGAGCTTGAGTCTAAATAAACTTGTATGTTTAAGGCTTTTAAAATGCTAATGTTGAATTTCAGGGGAGGGGGGATGCAAGGGGATTGTTGGACTGAGCACCAAGACAGCTGATGAGTTTGGATTGGTGCCTTTACAATTCAAGGAAAAATGGGATAGTTTGGGAAGGAAAAAGGGATTTTCTTGTTTTTGTTTTTAGTAGAAAATAAAAGAAGCTGCCTTCTTATTTGCCTCCCTCCCCCAGCGCCGGAGCAGCAAGCGACTGGTGTTGTATGCATAAGCTATTCCTTTGTGCAACATCTAAATGGTTAATTGTGTTTGAGGAAGATGTACGGGCGAATGGAGGGACCACCCAGCAAGAAACAGACAAGAAAGAGCGATCTCTGAAATGTTTAACCAGAGAGAGAGCAAAGTTGTTTAAAAATATTTAATTTACAACATTCCACACTGCTGATTATAAATTGGCCGTCCAAAAACACTGCTGCGTGCAGGGAGGGATCCAGGCAGCATGAAACAAATTCTTGTGATTGTTTTTCCTATCTTCCTCCCTCCTTTCCTTGGGGAGTTTAACCCCACGGCGGGATGCGGGTAACCCTAGGCAGGGAAGGCAGCGACCGACCGCTGTCCCCCAGGACCGTGGTCTCTGGTGCGAACACCTGCACCCAGGGCCGGGATGCAGCCGCTTGCCAGCGCTGGGAGAGATGGAAGGGACAGTGAGGAACAACCAACTGGCGATGCCGGTGGCAGTGACAGGCACATTTGAGATGGCCAGTGGGTAACGGCCCCACAGCCCCTTCCCTCTGATTTTCACCCGAGCACCAGGATTCCCCCAAAGCATCCAGCCGTGCTCCTGGGCCAGGAAAGCTGGGAATCTCCCAGTGATGGGTTGGGAGACTTGGGGAGCAAAACTCGGCCGGGCTATGCTGCCCGTGAGAGGTCCCTCACCGCTGTGATGGTGTCCACTCTTTGGGTCGGCAGCGC